GTAGTAGTGGTGGTAGTAGTAGTTGTTGTAGTAGAAGCAACAGGGGGAGAATGAGGAGGAGGAGTACACTTATAACCAAGACGCCGGGACTTGAGCTTTGCATCACAGGGTCGGGTCGTTCAAGCACGCTCTGGGTCTTGTTGGGGGGTTGACGATCTTGTGCCAACGGCGACACTCTGCCGTTCTTTTCTCGACCCAAGCTTGATATTATCATGAAAAGATCCAAGTTGGAAGGCTCAAGCTTGCAGGTCTCGGCTGCCAATTGTTTGTGCGCAATCCCTTTTCAAACCGAACCCAAAAGCAAGCCCCTACAAAACCCGAAACATTGAAACCTGATATGGCTTGTAGCCTTAGTTTTGGGGCTCAAGCCAACCCCCGAAGACTCGACCACAACTTCCTCTACAGTATCCCAAGCAAAACAACAAGCCCCGAAACCTTTGGCACGGCATAGTGTTGCTATGAATTGAAAGCCACGAGCTCAAAACAACAGGAGTCACAACGCTTACATAAGACTTATGACATCGTGGACCCCAGACAGCGAAAGAACTCTTAAGCACTCCATTCCAACAACATCCCTGAGGCTTCGCTGCATTATTGCAAATGCACCCGTTTTGCAAAGGTTGTATAATCAACCTCGGCCGGCGCGGGACCGTGGAAAGAACGGACGGCAACGTCCGAATCTCCGTACTCACTCCTACGACGAAAAACCACACAATCTTACCACACACAGAAAAAACTTGTGCCCACATCTACGCCTTAAGGGCGCTCCGATATAGCAGCATGCACAGCTGTTTATGGTTACATGGACCCTTAGGACACTGCTTGGGCAGAAGAAACATCAATCCCCAAAACCTAAAGCCCCAAAGCCTTGCAGTCACGGGACGGTCGGCCGCACACGGCGGAGGAAATCTGCCATCGCTGGGATCAAATCCCTTTCGGAGCCTTCCTCAGGACGTGGGCTTCCAATATGGGGACATTGAAGATGAGCACAGGGTCCCTTTAAGGTTCTAGAATGTTTCTAGAAGCATCGCCGGTAGTAATTAGGGCTTTATGTACAAGCCCATTAGTTTGTAATAGGTTTCGGGTTATATCATTCAAAATGAATAACCATAAGGACCATGCAAAAAACATACGAAGTATCCGAAATCTGATTACAAAGGCATCCGTCCATGTTGGGCTTAGATTTTAAAGCATAGTCTAGGACATGTTTGTCGTGGTTGAAGAACATGGGTTAGCCACTGTAGACTGTAGGCATGTTAGGACAGAGCGCGGGCAGCCGAAAGACATGTCGGGAATGGGAGGTTAAGGCCCCACAGTCTGCAAGCCCTCCACAACATCGACCCTGAACAAACGCCTGCGTGATTTCGAGACTCTAAGCAGTATACCATAAGACCTGCATTTGAGGTTGAGGACCACTTGCACAGTCAGTCAGGCAACAGCTTCAGGCAGGAGTCAATGTCGATCTTGATAAACGAAGTCGCGTTCAACGAAGGAAAGGCCAGAAGCAGCTCGCTCATGTCCCAGACCTTGCAATATCAGGGGAGCCCTACTTGTCCCTAAAGGCCTTCATTAAACCCAAGGAATCCAAACCTTAAATCAAGATAAGCAGCCCTCCGTAGATCGAGCTAAGCTGCTTAACTACGTGCATCAACCCGACGAAAATCTTAACTTCCACAACACGTTTTTCTTGGTTCGGGAGTTGCGCTGTGGGGGTACCGGCTACAAACTCAGGCTTGCGCACGACTGACTCGCAATCCTGCAAAACTCGAAGTTCAAGGGGAATATATACATGGCTGATCGACGACGAACGTCGTATGCAATATGTGGTTTTGCATCCTTGTCGGTCTTCTGTCGAGCTTGCTACCGATGGAAGCACTAGGGTCACTAGGGCTGTAGTTCCAAAACATGCAAAGCAGCATTTTGCTATTATGAGAGCATGGTCGATGGAGGAAGTTTGCTCTTGCTGACTGCTACCAAGCCTGCTGCGTACTTGGCTTGCTGCTAGAAATCAGTTCGCTTTCTCAGTTACTCCCGCCTCCCACGCTCTTCCAGCTTCTCAGTGCGTCCGCCTCCTCCGTGCCTTTCCGCCTCTGTTTACCCTTGCTTCTGCACTTGATGCTCCCACTCCACCAACTCCAATCCGTAGATGAGCTGTTGCTAGAAGGTCCTTGGATGCTTCGGCGGAGGAGCCTCCCAATAAATGATATGGCGAGGATCGGACCGATGAAATCCTATGCCAGCTCTGGAGTTCGTGCCCCCTCTGCTGGCGCACGTGCCGTGCGGCCTTACAGCCACGGTGATGGAAAGCGCACATGAAATGACATGAGCCCTTTGGATGTATTACAGGGTTCGTGCACCTGCATAAGGCATAGGGACTCTGAGGGGAGATGATTTCCTAAGACATGGTCAGAATCCGTCAGAATCTCAACACATATCTTCGTCAGAACCGAAAGGCACCGGTCTATGGGACCTAGGAAAGGCTACGGGCGATTTGGGGTTCGGGCTCTCGCGCGAGTGGACGAAACCGGCTTTCAGGATGAGGTGTTCTACGGTTTAGGGAATTTATAAGGTTTAGGGTTTATAAGGTTTAGGGTTTAGGGTTTTAGGGTTTAGGGTTTAGGGTTTAGGGTTTAAGGTTTAGGGCTTAAGGTTTATCAGGTTTAAGGCTTAGGGTTTGTGTTCGGTTCCGGTAACCCGTTGAACCTGGGTAAATCCTTTATACTGCAGTTTAGATCGCCCGTATAGAGCATTTCAGAAGGCTCGGAAGCCCCTAGAACCCCCTTCAGAGTGTGCAAAAACCCTTGCAGACATCGGTCTCGTAACCCTAAACCCCAAACCCGCATCCTATATCCCCAAACTCTACCCATAGGCCCCATAGTAGTTCCTTTTTGGGATGGCCCTATAGGATTCTAAATATGAGCCCCGAAAAGGAACTACTATGGGGCCTATGGGCTAAACCCTAAAGCCAGGGATCCGTCGTGAGGATGGCCTGGCGGCGATCGAAGATGCCCACCTGATCCTCAGCGAACTTCCTACAAAAGCACGGAGCGGCCCTGGGTTCGGGGTTTTGGGGCTTTGGGTTTTAGGGTTTTAGGGTTTAGGGTTTAGGATTTTAGGGTTTAGGGTTTAGGGCTGTTCAGGGTTTTGGGGCTTTGGGTTTAGAGGTTTAGGTTAAACCACCCTTTTCTTGTTGTCTCTCTTTCTCTCTCCCAGGGTCAGGAAAGCGGTTTTTGGTGGGGAGCCATAAAAGAAAAACGTAGAAGCCTCCAAACGAAATTGGCTAGCAACGACCGTGAACGTCGTCCAAGCTAATTATTTCCGACGCCGAAACTGACTAGCAACGAGGCTCCCTGTCGTCCTTGCCAAGTATTGGACACGTCCTTCTGAAGCAAAACCTGAAACATTAGTTGGCTAGGAATAGCATGGCTAGCACGACGATCGTCCATGTCGCTAGTCAAGTCTTGTGGATGGAGAATATTACCCTGAGGGTCCATGTGCCCAAATAGAAAATACATGGCCCCCAAAGTACCTATGTAGCGACTACTTTAACGCCACAGTATACACTAAATTTAGGCACAGGGACCCTTAGGGTTACCAAATACCTAGAACCTTAAGGACTTTAGGAGGGACCCCTAATAGAGAGCCTTAATCCCAGTACCTTAACTAACCATTGTATAGTCCCTATATACCCCTGATATAGCCAGGTAGTCGCCATATTAACCCCAATGACCTACAAGGGTCCCTATTAAGGGTCCCTCCTAAAGCCCTTAGAAGAACTCTATGGTTCATCCTCACCTCGGCCGCAATCCCACAGACTGTCGCCACGGCGCGGCCGAGTCTCCTCTGTTCGTCATCTGCACAAAGCCTGCATCTGTCTGCTGGGTTTGAGGGTTTAGGGTTTAGGGTGCGCAAAGCCTGCTTCTGTGTGCTGGGTTTTAGGGTTTAGGGTTTAGAGTTGATTTGGCTCCTGCTGCACACGATGACGAGCTAGTAAACCTATACCTCTAAACCCTAAACTCTAATAAACCTAGACTCTGAGGCATAAGTCTAAACCCTCAACCCCTAACCTAAACCTGAAACCGAATGCAAACATACACCTAAACCGCTATACCCTAGAGTCTAAGAGCTGAGCTGCCTCGCCGTGCACCCAAGGCCACCCGCAGCAGAGAAATCCGGTGGCGCCTGACCAGACCGGGCTTCGACCGCAAGTGGTTCAGGGTTTGGGCAGTTCTCTAAATGAGGGTCCCTTTTCCAAGAATGCCGTACCGTTCTTGGGACGTAAAAAGGGGCCGAATATAGAGAACAGCACGTTCACTGTTTAGGGTTCAGAGTGTAGAGTTTGGGGTTCAGGATTCAGGGTTTAGGGGTTCAGGTACAGAGTCCACTGCCCCTTCATCAAGGGATACAGCTAACAGCATCAAGAAGCTCAACTTCCAGCTCACGAGACTTGCAGCTCAAGCGGGGTCCCCGCACTTATCCTAGGTTTCCTCGTGGTTCTCAATCGTTGCTATTGATCTCATGCGCCTGTCGGCGTTTTGAGCGACATTCTGCACAAGTTCCTCGAAGGCTGCATCACTTGGCTCCAGGACGACGACCTGCTGGTGGAAGGGCTTCGGAAGTGTTGGGCTAAAGGGCTCAGGGGTTATAGNNGTATAAGGTTTAGGGTTGTAGGTGTTGGAAGGGTTTAAAGGTCGGACTTCGAGATGAGCACAAATATCCAATGATGCCACGACTGAACTCAGTGTCAGCTACCACGACATGCCTCCCTGATACAAGCCTTTCAGCTCAGGAGCACGTCCGAGTACTGCAAGGTTAAAGCTGGGGATCGCCACACCGTCCCCGCGAACCACCAAGGCGACAGCATAAAGCTATGTAAAGTTAAGGGTGTACCCTAGACCCTAAACCCTAAACCCTAAACCCCTAAACCCCTAAACCCCTAAACCCCTAAACCCCTAAACCCCTAAACCCCTAAACCCCTAAACCCCTAGACCCCTAGACCCCTAGACCCCTAAACTTCCTA